CAGGCTAGTTATAGTTAATTAAAACTAAACTAAGAACTAGATCCTGCATGCATGAAGGAGCGTTTCTGCAGGTCCTTCCTCCCTGCAGCGGCACACACACACACACTCACACACACACACACACACACACAGACACACACAGACCACACACCATAAGTGTTATGTATTACCTTACACATAATATAATTCAATTTTCAATTTTTCAATTCAATGTTATTTATATTTCGCCAAAGAGTCGCCTCAGGGCGCTTTATATTGTACAGTAGATCGTACAATAATACATACAGAGAAAAACCCAACAATCATATGAGCCCATGATTCAGGGTCACCTGATCCAGCCCTAACTATGTGCTTTAGCAAAAAGAAAAATACTCTAGGAACAACAAGTAGGCCTGCAGAGCGAGAGCGAAGTGCTCTAATAGGGTGATATGGTACTACAAGGTCATTAAGATAAGATGGGGCCTGATTATTTAAGACCTTGTATGTGAGGAGCAGGATTTTGAATTCTGGATTTAACAGGAAGCCAAAACAGGAGAAATATGCTCTCTCTTTCTAGTCCCTGTCAGGACTCTTGCTGCAGCATTTTGGATTAGCTGAAGGCTTTTCAGGGAGTTGGACATCCTGATAATAATGAATTACAGTCGTCCAGCCTGGAAGTAATAAATGCATGAACTAGTTTTTCAGCGTCACTCTGAGACAGGATATTTCTAATTTTAGAGATGTTGCGCAAATGGAAGAAAGCAGTCTTACATATTTGTTTAATATGTGCGTTGAAGGACATGTCCTGGTCAAAAATGACTCCAAGGTTCCTCACAGTGTTACTGGAGGCCAAGGTAATGCCATCCAGAGTAAGAATCTGCTTAGATACCATATTTCTAAGATTTTCAGGGCCGAGTACAATAACCTCAGTTTTATTTTCTGAGGTTGGTGTTATTATAGTTTTGCAATTTCTAATTAACATTTCTTTATATTTCACTTTTCTTTTTACAATTTAATTTAGTTTCAGCCAAATATTTATTTTTAGTCTATATAATTATCAGTATAATAATGTGATTGGAACCCTGACTGATGGACAACAGGTGACTCTAACTAAAAAGCCAGATGGCAGGACTTGATTAAAAAGGAGTAACAGGCAGAGTAAGTTACAGACATGTTGGACTTGCATTCATTTTGATAGGAGCTGATTAAAGCTGCTGGCGGCAAAAATATACAGCGAGGGTTGTTCGTGTTCCAGCGTGAGAGAGGAAGCAAGTTGCCTTCCCGTGAGGCTGGGAATAGGAATGCAGAACACCATCGCCTCCATTTCCTCGCAAGCTTGAGCTGCTTTTTTCCAGACGCTCGTGTCATGTTCATTAACAACATCTCCTTTGAGAATATTCTTCAGGGGAAGTAGAGGATGCTGCTAGGCCTGACCCTGAGGAAGGCTCTGGTGTTCATGCAAGTTTAGTTTTCCCTTTTCAGTCTCATTTTTAGTGTTATATAGAGATTGAAAATGTGACGTCATTCAGGGGTAAAACCGCAAAGGATTCTGGGAACTCGTGGCAAGCGGTACTAGCGCACGCAGGCTTTCAATTAAAATCAGTCACACAGCGATAAAAAGAAACACAAAAATGTCAAGAAGCTGTTGTATTATTAACTGCAATAGCCGGTCGCATGACAGCCACGGGAAGCCGACGGGTAAAGAGATCGGTTGTTATCGGATTACGTCGTTGAAGAGAAATTGTTCGAGCCATGTTTCCGAAGTAACAAAGAGGCGACGGATGGCCTGGTCAGAGTTTTGTAGTATTTAATACGTCATTTTTCTTAACATAATTGGTGATATAGGTTACAAGCAAGTCTGGCGCTGAACAGAAATTGTCGCGCTATGCTCCTTTATTTATTGTGCATAAATAGTGAATTGTCCTGACACAATATTGTGTTTCGCTTCTGTTATTATGGTACATTGACAAAAACATATACTTTTATTCACAGGATAAAACAGTTGTTTTGTATCACTAATTGCCCAGTACGATTACAGCATACAATATTATTGTCACTGCTACATTTCTGTGATGAACCAGAAATTATTTCCACTACTAATTAATTACCGTTGAGCTCAAAGGTCCTATTAATAAACGGTTAACGAATGTGTATTTATGACGACGATTTGTGAGACTGGTAAACTTATGATACGTACGATGGTCTTTCGTTCTACACGGTGCATTTCAAGGTCCTGTACCCATCCGTCGGTAAACTGTACCTGGGCTTGTTGCAGTGACCTGAAGTTACTAAACTTCACGAGTGTATGCACTCACTCCAAGAACCGTATAATTATAAATATGAGCGTGGTGAAAGTTGGGCAGCACGCTAACGTCTTTTGTCCACTCTGTGTGCTCGTAAGGGTCTGACCCTTTCACTCCTTTGATTTTTTCCTCGTATCTTTTCTTTGACTTTTCATCAAGTCTGTCTTTGTACGGACCGGCATTGTTCTCCTTCGTTTTGTACATAACTTTTTTGGGGGACAAAGAAAAAGCAAGAAGGTATTGGAACCGGAGAATGAACGTTTTGCGGTGCTGCAAATGCTTGCATTTGATGCGGTACTTGGATTGTTTTGCCACGAGTTCCCGGCATGCAATGCGCGAAAGATCACGTGATTGCTAAACAAGGGGGCGGGTGCATTCCCTCCTCGCCCAGCCCAGAGTCGATCATGACCAATTGGCCTCCCCGCCCTCACCCCCCTCACCACCCCACCTCACACCCCCGCCCCTCACAATAACGCAGTCTCACGATCCCTCCCTCCCTCCGCGGGGGACCCGCATCCCCCCGGCCCCCCCCCCCCCCACCCCCACCCCCCCCCCCCCCCCCTTGACTCTACTACTCCACGCACTCCTCTACAATACGACCTCACCACCCACCCCCCCCCACTGCCTGACACCTAGAACAATCGTAACCCCCAGCACACACCACCCCCACCCGACAACCATTCCATTAGAACTACAAACTCCACCACTACCACCCCCCACTCCCAACCATCCCCCCCATCACCCACTCGTCCCCTCCTCCTCGCACTCGCACGCCCCCCCCCACCCCCCACCCCCCCACCCGACCCCCACCCACCCACCGCTCCCCACCACCCACCCACCCCTCCCCCCCCCCTGTCCAAGACCTTACCGCTATAACCCACCTCGCCTGCGAGGTCCCACACCCCCCGCGCCCGCTCAACCTAACGCCTCTGAGTGCCGCCCCTCCGAGGCCAGCCTGACGCCGCCGCGCCCCCCCCCTCCATCGCAAAACTATTCATTCTGTCTTATCCCAAATTCTCAGACAGCTGAAGGATGTGACTGAACATGAAGTGCAAACAGGAAGAAGTACAACACTCTGCTTCAATGAAGACCGGGTTCAAAACCAGGCCTGACTGAGCCGTGTGCGTGTTGTAATAACTAAGTTAATACTGCTCTGATGTGTTGATCAGGTATGAAACACGTCCTCGAGCTAACCCAGCTACCACTACGAGCTGTTTTAATGCTGTTAGTAAGTCTTTTTCTTTGTTCATGTTGAATTCACATTTTGTCCCATTTTAGAAGAAGAAAAGATGCAGATACTCAGTGGAAGGAAATGCTGATCTTTACCAGCCCGATCAAGTTCTAGTTTAGATCTAATGACTTTCATCATTAGAAACAATCTCTGTGTTTTCAGCACTGTTTAATCTCTTAAATCTAAATGTGTGTTCACTTTCTGTCTCATGTTTACTGACCTTCTCCTTCGTAATGACATGAGCTGTGACGTTTTCACAGTCCTGAAATCCATCCAGCAAAGTGAGTGGGTTTTCTTCAGTGTCCAGCCTGATGGAAAATTAACATATTAGCATAACTGAAGTGATCTCATAACCCTGTGAAATAAACGAAATGACAAAATATATTTTAAAAACATGATTCTTGGATCTTATACAACAGTCAGAGGCTCAAACATGGGCTCCTCAAAATGATACTAGAGCTGAGCTGGAGGGCGTCTATCAGGATGGGCCTGGGACCCCTGTCCTCAGTGGGCTCCTCCCACTCCATCACACCCTCACACATGCAGGGCCTTGGGGGGTGCAGGTGCATCAATGAGGACAGGTATTCCTTCTGTCTCCTCCTGGCCACCTGTGTCTGAATTTAATTCCACAACTTAGACATTCTCATTGCTTACACTATCTCTTGGAGAAGCTAAGCCTCCAGTTCCAGGCAGACTAAGATATGGGAAGACAATAGCACACATGGCAGACCAGAGAGAGCTAGAGAGACAGCAGGAGAGAGAGGGAGAGCAAGGAACAAGAGGGGACTGCTAAAGGAAACTAGATAACCTAAAGACGTCTAAATTACACCAGAGAAACAATACAATCAGGATGCTCATGAGCACAAGGAAACTAACTATAAAAGTTAAGCAACTCTGGACCCCCTGCAGAAATCCTACCGGCCCAATAGGTCCACGTCAGACACCATCGCTGCTGCCTTCACTATTCCCTCTCCCACCTGGAAAACGAAGACTCATACATCAGGGTACTTTTTGTTGATTACAGCTCTGCATTCAATACCATCATCCTACACAAACTCACTCACAAGCTGGCAGCACTCGGCCTCCAGCTCACCCTCTGTGACTGGCTACAGGACGTTTTGACTGGCAGGCCCCAGTCCATCAGGATGGGCAACAGGACTTCAGCCAGCATTATTACAAACACTGGTGTCCCACAAGGTTGTGTCCTCAGTCCCGTCCTCTACACCCTGTACACCCACGACTGTGTCGCCTCCAATAGGGATAACACCATACTGAAGTTCGTGGACCACACTGCAGTGATCGGTCGCATCACTGAGGGGACGAGGCGGCTTACAGGAGAGAGGAGGCCGGTCTGGTGTCATGGTGTGAGGACAACACCTGGACACTGAACACCACACAGCTGGTCAAGAAGGCTCAGCAGCGGCTGCATTTCCTGAGGAGGCTGAGGAAACCTGGTATGCCAGCAGCTTCTACAGCTGCATCGTGGAGGGCACCCTGACCAGCTGCATCACTGCATGGTACGGCAGTACCACTGCTATGGACGGCAAACGCCTGCAGAGAGAACCCTAACAACCACGGAGAAGATCCCCAGGACCCCGCTGTCGTCTCTGCAGATCATCTACAGAGTCCAGAGGAGAGCTGCCTCCATCCTCAAAGACCCCACACACCCCCAACACACACTGTTCACACTTCTGCCCTCGAGACGAAGGTTCAGAACATCCAGACTCAACAACTCCTTCTTCCCCACTGATATCAGACTCTTGAACAGCTGACCCATTTTTGAACAGTAATAATAATTTTTTTGCACTTCTGGTCATCTCACATATCAAAGCAGTATATTAAGCTCACAGCTCCTTTGTACATAAATCTATTTAATACTTCATTTTTTGTCTCCATTTATTTATTCATGCTATTTGTATTTTATCTATTTGCACATATTAACCAGCATCTGTCTGTGGACAGCAGAGAAAGAATTTCATTGAACAGAGAAATGCTTTTCCTTGTGCACATGACAATAAACGCTTTGAAATCCAAATTCAAAATCAAAGCAATGATGAGTGACAAGATTCAAAATTCAATCAGCACAAAACACCAGGTCATAGCCCAGAACAAAAAGCTCAGCAGCAAATAAAGAACCAGGATGTGACAGTGGCGACGTGTTGTTTATTCACTTCTTTAAAATACTCCAAAGTACCATAAACAAGCTAAGTGCCGTTTGTGTTCCCTATCTTTAAAATAAATAAATAAAACAAACTAAATCCACGTTGGACAGAGTTGATTGTACATCAGAGGGACAGCTGCTGCTGAGCAGGCTGGAGACAAAGTTAGAGACGTGCAGAGGAGGAAGGGTGGATACACTGGACTAAGGATGTGAAGATGGAGCCAGGCAGCAGGAAAACAGGAAGTCCTCAGAGAAGATCCATGGATGTAGTGAAGGAGGAAGTGCAGAGGAGGCAGATGATCTGCTGTGATAAATCCTAACGGGCTTTTTGGCTCATTAATAACCAACTATTAATAAAAAAGTCCAGTGTATTGTGAAGCACTGTCCAAATTCTTTTACAAATACTTGCAAAGGACATAAAATATCCAGATGTCAAACCTGCTAAACACCATTTAAAAAATGTAAATGACTGAAAGCTTCTTTACCTTTTCACAGATCTTCCAAATCTTGATTGGTGGTAGTCGTTTCCCCTAAACGAAACACATCCTGCATTATTTGTTATAGATTACTTTTTACTTAATTTTATTTTGTACAAGTGGTAAAATCTCAAAGTGAAGTCTGAAATCTGTAGGTGCATTCTTCTCTCATGTCACTGGGTCTTTGTCTGGTTCCTCGTCTCGTCTTCTGATTCGCTCCCACCTGTTTCCTCCGCCCTCCTTACCTGCTGTGTGTTTATTGTCTGAGTCTAACTCCTGTCCTTTGGCTTGTCCTCCCTCATTCTGTGGTTTCACTCGAGTTCTGCTTGTTATCATTTACTCCTGGGTCCACCTCTGTGTGTTTGAAAAGACTTTGGCATCAAAGCTTAAGTGCTGTCTGCGGCACGCCGGGTCAGTATCTGCCTGCTGCACAGGATTACATTACATCTCTACAATTCCAGTCACAGTGGCAGAGCCCCACAGTGCTTCTGATAACCAATGTCTATGATACCCACAGGAGCTGTAATGTAGTAATAGCTGTTTGTTAGGATGCCTGGGTCGTTGACCCGGGTTTTTGAGTTTATTATTTATAATTTCTAGTCTTTGGTTTCTTTGAGTTCTGTCTTATGGTTTATGTCTCTGTCTTCTCTAGCTGCTCTGTCTCCCCTGTCAGCTGTACCTTCCCCTTGTCTAGTTCGCGTCTCTGTGTATCCTTAGTTGCTATATCCCCGTGTCCAGTCAGTGTCTGTGTCTGCCCTGGTCCCACGTCTCTGTTCCCTCTGTTGCAGTGCGTGCGAGTCTGTGTCATGTTTCCTGTTTTATTTTGAAGGTCCTTGTCTGATGTTAATGTCTGGTTTTGCTTCCTTTGTCTCGTTAGGCCTGATTTGCCCCAGCTGTGTTTCCCTCCTGTTACCCATTCCCTGATTGCTCCCTCTGTGTATTTAAGCCCTGTGTTTCTCTGTGTCTGTGCGATCTACCGTTTATTTTGCTGTGTGTTTTGTCAGTCTGCCGGTGTTAGTTTATTTTGATTTTTTCCAGTTATGTTATGTTTGAGTTCAGCATTAAAGCTGTTTTGGTTTAAGTTTGTCTCTGGAGTCTGCACCTTGGGTCCTATTCCTGTCTGCACACAGCCGTCACTTAACACAGATCTTGTACAGTTCTGCAAACTTTTTCAAAATTTAGGTGTTCAGGTGTTGTGCCAGAAAATTATTTCTGATGTTTGTGTTTCATGTCAAATATGTTTGCTTATATCAGTGAATACACTGTAGTCAAAATGTAAAGAGGTTATACAGTCCAGGAATTAGTAGCTTCGCTCTCTTCCAAATAAATGAACAGTCTCTTGTTTTTATGATAGTTTCTTTTAATTTTATTTCCATGTTTCGTGTCCTCCCTTACGACCCAGCCACAGCTCTGGCTCCCACAGGCCGGCTGTGCCCATGTGGCACACGTTTGATGGTTGGTATTGTTTCTTCACATGTTCAAGGCTGAACAGGTTTACTCAAGTGTTTCTGTGAGAGTCACACTGGAAGTTTTAATATTTGGTGTCTTTCATTTGTAGTTTATAATTAGAAGTTAAGCTTAAATGGGCACAATTAGTAAACATCTTCCATCCATCCATCCATCTTCATCCGCTTTATCCGAGGCCGGGTCGCGGGGGCAGCAGCCTAAGCAAAGAGGCCCAGACCTCCCTCTCCCCAGCCACCTCCTCCAGCTTGTCCGGGGGAATACCAAGGCGTTCCCAGGCCAGCCGAGAGATATAATCTCTCCAGCGTGTCCTGGGTCTGCCCCGGGGCCTCCTCCCGGTGGGACATGCCTGGAACACCTCACCCAGGAGGCGCCCAGGGGGCATCCTTGTCAGATGCCCGAACCACCTCAGCTGGCTCCTTTCGATGTGGAGCAGCAGCTGCTCTACTCTGAGCCCCTCCCGGATGGCCGAACTTCTCACCCTATCTCTAAGGGAGAGGCCAGCCACCCTTCGGAGGAAGCTCATTTCTGCCGCTTGTATCCGCGATCTCGTTCTTTCGGTCACTACCCACAGCTCGTGGCCATAGGTGAGGGTAGGGACGTAGATCGACCGGTAAATTGAGAGCTTCGCTTTTACACTCAGCTCCCTTTTCACCACGACGGACCAGTGCAGCTTTCCCAGAAGCGGGGGTGAGACTTAGTACATACTCGTAAGAGAATGAAGATTGGGAGTTGATTCAGGAATGAATGTGGTCGGGGAGTGTGTGTGTTGTGTACATTTTCTTATAAACGGGGGTCACTTATGTTACCTGATGGTGGTCTTCACTGATGAGACCATAACAGCTGATCAGGGCCAACTGAGCGTCAGACTCAAACTGCAGGTTTACTTCAGCAGAACAGATTCTTAACATTATAACCAAAGATCCAAAAAATGCTCAGAAATCTCATCTTATAGAAATTAACTGAGACCAAAACAGTTATCCTGGAGCTCTCTCTCATTTAATGCTTTGCTTCATTTTTCAGGACTTTAACGCCTTCTTGGTACATATCGAGAAACAGAAGGTACAAGACTGGCTGCTGGGTGCTTCAGAGATCTCCCACAGCTACAACCAAAAGCTTCTGATCATGACCGACACAGAGAAATCCACCAGTGACAGAGTCCAGCAGGAATACAGCAAGGATCCTCATTACTCCGTGAAAGTCACCAAGGACTGCCTGTTCAACGACTCCTGTGTACCAGCAGCAGACAGATACACTGTGGTCAAAATATTTGGAAGTGTTTCAGAAGATGGACAAACTGTGTCTGGACTTGATGGATCTTCACTTGCAAAGCTGATGTTGAAACCATCTCTGGAAGCAGCTCCAGTTCTCTCTCTCGATGGAAACACAACCACACAGTTCCACCAGAACTTCATTCGGGTTTTTATGCTCCGCGGCCTCCAAACAGTCTTAGAAACCAACCAGAACAATCAGCAGATTTACCAGGTGATGGATCGACCTGACTCAGTTTCCAGCTACAAAATCCCACAAAGACCAGCTGATCACACCACACAGTATGACCACCAGCAGATCGTAATGATGGAAAATGATCCTGTGGTCAGAAGAGCTGCTGAATATTTGTATGACAAACATCCAGCAGTTAGTTCTGTCTATGTTCTTGATGAAAACCAAAGACCCAAACTGATCCACGGTGAACCAGTGTCTCTGTCAGAGGACAGCAGACTGGTGCTGGTAGGTCATGGTAAAAGAAACAACACAGGAGAAATGAGACTGTCAGGACACAGTTCTGGAGATGTGGCACAAATCATCGAAAGGACAAACAGAGGCAGCGATAAAATCAAAACAACGAGTGTGGTGGCCTGTGAGGTCGGATCAGACCAACGATTCATGGAAACTCTGCTGAGGGACCTCCATGAAAATAACATCAAGACAGAGCTTCATGTGAGGGACACTCTCATCCAAGTCACACACACAGGCAAGAAAATCACTCAGGAAATCTCTCCAGAGGGGCTGCAATGGAGACATAAAGACAACAGCAAGAAAGTGGTGGCAATAATTGATCGCAACGGAGATTTAATAATGAGAAACGAGCCTGGAAGTAAAGGAGAGGCTGTTTTTACCAATGAAAGAAACTTTCTGGGTGGAGGAGAAAACAAGGGCATCAAAAAACCAGCAAAAAATTTTATAAGAGAAGACAGCTGGCCAGATGAACCAAAGAGCTTTGTTAACCCAGAGGTTTTTAAGAAGATTGACCAAAATAAAGTTAAGATGAAATCTGCCATTGATGAACTCGAGGCTCTGTCTTGGGGAATCTTTCACTCAGATCAACCAGCACCAAAGAAAATCAGTGTCAACAACCCAGGAGAAATAAGAGATTATGAAATAGGGAAAAGAGAAAAAAAGGTTATTACTTGGATAGATAAAGAAGGTGACAAAAGACAAGTCCTTAATGAATGTTATGAGATTAAATCAGGAGAAGATGTTAAAAATATAATACGTCATTATGCAAAGAATGGAGAAGAAAAGACTACATACCTGAAGATCAATGACTGGATATATGAAGTTGACCCTCGGAATCTGTATGTGTATCCAGTTGGAAAAAAGCTTGACAACAATAATGTAATTGAAGATATTAAGACATGCATTGATGAACAGGCGGGGAACGAAAGATACCCAGACATGCGAGACAAGATTTTTAGAAATGTAAAGAATGAGGAAGAAAAAAACCAACAAAAACAAAGATATGCTGAATATGTAGAAAATACTTTTCTTGGGGAGCACCCAGATGTTTTTAAAGGAAGTCTGACAGGTTACAAAAGACTGTCCATGGAGGCCTGGTTCACCACGTATTTCACTGCAACAGTTATATCTGAATCTGCGAGAAATTTCCGAACATTCTCTCTGACTCTTATGGCCTTGGATATGGTTCAAAGCAAGGACAATAATATCCGACAGAAAGGTCTGGATTTTTTCTTTGACAATCATCCAATGACAAGAGGAGGCAGTTGGATTGACCCGAGCAGACGAGGATTCGCAGGCTCAGCAACACATGAAGATTCCAGCAAATTAACAAATCATCAAGAAGAATTCCGAAAAACCGAGAAGCAGCTCATGGGTGACCTTGTTGAACTTGTAAAACGAGAGGGTAACTTCTTTACAGAATGGAAGAAAACCGTTGGTAATGGTGAAAGTGATGTGGTGAAACGCATGACTGAACTTTCAAACACCTACAAAACAATGACGGATAATTCAGACTTTCAAAAAAAATACAATGATTTCAAAACAGACACCAACAAGAGTCCACAACCTGAAGATCACAGAAAACCTTCCACATCTGGAACACTGGGAGGATACGATGATGGCTACGTCACAATGCGAGACCTGAATTCAGCCTCAGAATTAGAAAATACCTTCAAACATGAATCTTATTTCTCGAGAGCATCTGCATCGTTGGCTGAAGACGTCCATGCTGCACTACAGCACAAATATGGTGAAACTCTGGCAGGAATGCACCTTCAGGAGCAATCGGCCCGAATAGAAAACGGACAGTTTGTATGTAAGCTCGTGTCAGAGAGAGCTGGTGCTGAGCCCGTGGAGTTCAGGGCTGATTTATCTCCACAGAGTCAACATTACAGTGAAAAGATGTTGGAGAACATTGAGACATCAGTGCATGAGATGGAGCAGCACAGTTCAGCATCCTCCCATCAGGTCAACAAGTATGTAGAGAAGGCTGGAACTGCTGTTGGCACTCTGGGTCTCATGCTGGGACTGAAAGGAGCTGCTCGTGCCTTTGAAGAGGGAAACATCAAAGATGGTGTGATGGGGTCTTTGCAGACGGCTCATGGAGTGACAGCTATGACAACATCTGCTATTGCAAGCAAAGCTTTGACCTCAGAGTCAAGAATCGCAAAAGCAATCATGAGGAGCCCTGCAATGAAGCGTTTTATGACAGTTATACCAATAGTGGGAATTGGATTTGGGATCTACAATATAGAACAAGATTTGGAGAGAGGAGATGCTCTGGGATACATTGATGCTGCGTTAGATTTTGGCATGGTTGAGTTAGATGTTGTTGAGCTTGCTCAGCCTGAACTGGCACCTTTCATCGCACCTATAAATCTGGCTCTATCAGTAGTGCGGATGGCCATTGATGATGTTTATATGGGCATCCAGAATGAACTGAACAGCCTCCCAGCGGACGCTGGAGTTTTAGACAAAATAGCTGCTGTTTTTGTTGGCTTTGGAAAAGGGATCATGCACTTTGCTATACATGTGGCTAGTGTATTTTATGACTGGCGTTATGATGAAATTGAGGAGGGACGAAGACTTGTTGCACAGATCTCAGATTATCACCAATATTATAAAGTCACAAAGCAACAGGATGGAACGACAGCCATTGATTTTGCTGCTGGCGCCTCCTCCTGGAATGGAGGAGGTATTAACTTCTGCCTCGCTGATGAGGGTCAGTCTGAGCTCTGCATGGACTATTTTGTTTCTCATGATGAGAGTCCAAGAAGACGATGCTGGAACATTAACACAGATGGAAGCAAAGATATAATTCTTGGTCTGGGAGAGTCACATGGATTAGAGCACAAAACATATGAAAAAAAAGTACTCATGTTCATACCAGCTGGATCTGTGACAGTGGTTTCAGGTTATGAAGCTGTTTCCTATTCAAGGTACGGGACATACAGGGGAAACAGAGACTCTAATCGATTTTTTGCAGTTCAGAAATCACAGGACGAACATATGATTGAAGTCATGTTGAGCTACTATTACAGACTTCATGGGGAACCAGGGGATGACACATTCTTCCTCGGTCCACAGAGAAGTTATGTCGAAGGCTCAGGAGGAAGGGACACCTACATCATTCCTGAGAATGGAGGGAAAACGATCATTAACAACTACGATCCCTCCAGAGCACAAGACAATCTGCATTTCAGTGTCGACTACAGACACATTTCTGTGTCTAAATCAGGAAACGATGCTGTGCTGACGTATGAGGGCAGTCATACTGTAAGAATACAAAACTGGTTTTTAGGAGAAGATTATCGTCACATGAACATGATGTCAGGAGACGGAGTCTTATTTGAGATTTCCTCCACGGTGGTTTCTTCAGTTCAGCTGGTGGCCAGAGGAATTAACAAGATGTTCAAGACAGAAGGTGAAGTTGTTGATGCATCACAGCCACTTTTACGCACAGTTACAAACATCTTTGGGTCTCAGTATGATGATGAACTCATTGGAAATGGAGAAAGGAACCTGATAGATGGGGGAGGAGGGATCAGGGATATTCTGATTGGTGCTGAAGGAGAAGACATTTACATGGTGAAAGGCAGAAAACGTTCCTCCGTGCTCATTGAAAATTACTCCAGAGACGAGAAAACTGACCTGGCCATCATAGAAGCAAATCTTCATACATTTCGAGTCAGAGTAGAAGGTGATGATGTTCATCTGGTGGCTCAACATGGCAGCACACTGCTTCATGTTACTGTAGTGAACTGGTTCAGATCATCAGCACACAGACACTTGCTGTTCATCACAAAGGATCTGATCACCTTCACAGTGTCAGATAACAAAGCTGACTGCCTGCAGAGGAACATCTTCACCACATGTATAAAGAGCCTCAGCATTGACTACAGCAGCTCCCCGTCTCCTCTGAGGGTGGACCTTGAGAAGGATGAGGCTTTGGACAGCGTGACAGAGATCCGCGGGTCAAACTATAACGATGTCATCAAAGGAAACAAAGAACACAACGTTGTCGTCCCTGGATTAGGAGATGATTTCATTGAGGGGAGAGGAGGAGAGGACTGGTACGTTATCACAGCAGGACAAGGAGTGAAAACCATCAACAATCTATCACCAGATCTAACCATGGACCTGCTCTTCCTTAAAGAACAATATCAGCATATAACATGTAGATGTGAAGGTCAGAGCATCATCGTTCAGGTACAGGGCAGAAGAACTGTTATTTTACAGAACTGGTTTAAATCAAAGAATTATCAGCACCTGCAGATCAAGACCAGTGATGGAATAACAGCTGGACTGAAGCCCAGCATCAGCAGCTGTGGATGGGATTTAATGCTGCCTTTAACCATCGACTACAGAAACCTGAGTCCTGAACTACTTCCAGTAAACTATGACAATCTATGCATGTATTTTTATAAAAAGATAGTTTACTCAGATCAAAAAGCAAGGATTTATTTTGATAGAGGCAACTGCATGCACTGGGGGAAAGTGATGATTATGAATGATGTTGAATCAGTGAAAGAAATGTACGGCTCCTCAGGATTTGACATCATGGATGAGTATTCATTTCATCCACACACCGGGAGGGGCACTGATGATAGGAGGAAACTCAGTGACTCAGTGAAAGAAATGTACGGCTCCTCAGGATTTGACATCATGGCTGGAAACAGCAATGATAATTTACTGGATCCACACACCGGGGGGGCACTGATGATAGGAGGGGAAGGCAAAGACACCTACATAATCAAACATGGGGATGAAAACATGGTAATCATTGATAACTTTGCAGAAGATCAGAAAACTGACACTGTGCTGGTAGATATGGATTTCCTTGATGGAAGTCGAGTCATACTGTACTCAACAGTTTTAATGGAACCAACAAGAAAGGATGTTCATGTTAGAATCATGAAAAATGAGGAAAGATTAGAATTCATTCTCCGTAATTATGCTAATGGTGAAAAACATCAGCATCTAGAATTTCAGAGCTCTGATGGCGTCCATTTCAAACTCAAGTCTCTAAACTCATCTGAAGACGACTCTTTCTATCAGGTAGAAGCTTTCAAAGTGACTCTCACACAGTCTCCGGTGGACTGTCGTTTGGACCTCAGCGCTCAGAGAAATCTGTCAGAGGTTCACACAGTGCAAGGCTGCCCCTCCCAGTCTAATGTTATAATAGGCAACAACCGAGACAACGCTCTGATTGGTGGGTGGAAGGACGACGCCTTGGATGGAGGTGATGGAGATGACACACTGGTAGGAGGAAATGGAGCTGACATCCTGATTGGTGGGAGAGGAGACGACACTCTTTATGGTGAAGATGGAAATGACACACTGATGGGAAACTCTGGCCGGGACGTCTTCCTTCCTGGACCAGGAGCTGATCTGGTGGACGGAGGTCCAGGCAGAGACTCGGTTCTCTATCGGGGTGATCATGAGAAGGGTGAAGGGGTGTATGTTAACCTGCTGACGGGCCAAGGCCACCACGCTGACGCTGAGGGCGACGTCCTGAAGGATGTGGAAACTGTGATCGGCACCATCTATTCGGACATCTTAGTGTCTGGTTATGAAAGTTCTCTTCTCAAAGGCTCAGATGGTAACGACATCTTGGTGTCCACCGGTGGAGATTATCTGGTTGGAGGTGATGGAAATGACATTTACATGTTCACTTTCAGCAACGGCTCAGTCACCATAGACAACTGTGCGACAGACAACGCCACAGATGTTCTGTACCTGAGCTCAAACTCAAGTCCAGAGTTTGATTGCCAACTATTATCCGACCGAGTCCTGCTGACCTTCTTTGGATTCGATCAATCAACTGTAAAAATTGCACTGCGAGGCTGGATTAGTGATGATGATGAATGTGGTCATTTGGTGCTGGTGTTCAGGGAGGTGGAGGCGTCGGTGGACATGCTGCTGCAAGAGTGCCAGTATAGAAAGAAGGAATCACTTTGGTCATCGATCATAACCCGGGCTATCTGCATCACTCTTCTTGTCTTCCACTTGGCTTTTGCTTTACAAGGGTCTCGAAAATTAATCAGAAAAGCACAAAAACCAAAAAGACAAAAAGAAGATGAAACTAATGTTGAAGCAGAGTCAGCACCAACAGTAATGTAGACCACTGCTGCTGCGGGTCACACGTTCTTTAAATATGTGATTTCACAAATAAGTTCTTTTTATACTTATAATTATACTCACTTTGCTAGTTACTCTAAATGTTGAGCTAATCATGAGTATTCTTGTTTTCTAAAGTCTAAATCTGTCACGTTTATTAATCAACTGCAAACTAAAGGAAAGTTCCTGTAATCATAGATCCTGAATGTGTCTGGTTCAGTTACCCAGAGTAACCGAGGAGTCGTTCAGCTTCAAACATCTTTAAATTACACAAAGTCGACAAACTGTGGACAAACGTGCCGAATACCAAAGAAAAGAACTGCACTTGGTGTCGTTGGGATTTACCACCGTGGATAATTAGACACTGTTTGTGTGAATTTCACAGCTTGAACAAGCAAGTCGAGTTCTTACCAAACATGTACCTGACATAACACTGATCGTCTTTTATTGCTTTTATTTACTGTAACGGCTGCAAATTTCTGAGCTTATTCAGAGGTGGAGAGTGTGAGCTGTTTTGTTATGTGGACTCATCTCCCCACACCATTAAGATTTTTCATGCTATATATTTTGTAATAGTTGAACAATAAACATTTACTGTCACTGATTTGTGCTGTGTGGTGATGTTAGGTGTAACCACCACTCTGATCCATCCATCTATTCACTTCCACTTATCCTTTTCAGGGTCGCGGGGTCACTGGAGCCTATCCCAGCCGTCTTAGGGCGAGAGGCGGGGCACAGCCTGGACAGGCCGCAGTTGTATTATGTATTATTTTAATATTAATGTCAAGTGTTAGGGAAAATATTCTAAAACACTTCTTCAGTAAAGACTCAGAGAAGAGAAACACACAGAGTTCTTGCTAGCAAGGGCAGCCTCAGAGACTCGCCCTGAGCTTTGCCCTGGTCTTTATTTATACTTCAGTGGTGTGTGTGTGTGTGTGTGTGTGTTTTGTGTGTGTGTGTGTGTGTGTGTGTGTGTGTGTGTGTGTCCTGCTGATCAAAGGGTCATAAAAGCACAAAAGGTACATCCTTGGTCAGGAAAGGGTAGTCTCCCCCTCACCCTAAATAACATGGTGAGGAAGTCCAGCAGTTCATCTATATGTAAAGAAGCACTTAAACTAAAACAGACACAGCTACGTTAATCCTGCCGTAAAACAATAAGAGAAGGTATGACCTCTCTCGTGCTCCCAGGATGTGGGGGTGCATTCTAGTGTGGAATACACACCAAGCCTTTGCAGCCTGTTAGAGATCACACACAATTAATTATATGCCTCTAAATATACATGGTTGAATATTTCCTAATACAAATAACTACATGCAGTACTCTACCATATGCAAACGTATATCACTAAAAGATTATACTGACTACTAAATACAATTTTCCATTGACATCAAGTGAATGGGATTTTTTTTTCTTAGTCCATTGTGAAATGTAGAAAATCACGTAGTAATTGAATTCAATTCAGCTTTATTTAGACAGCACCAAATCACAACAACAGTCCCCTCAAGGTGCTTTATACTGTAAAATAGACCCTACAATGATACAATCATATGACGTCCAATGAGCAAGCACATCCAAGATGACAGAGTCCCCGGGTGGAGCGCCCTCAACCATCCTACCCACGGACTCCAAGACTCTGACTGTTGCTCGGTGCAGAAGCACCGAGGGAACACACTCTCTCGTACAGAGCAGCAAGCTGAGGGGACGCTCAGCCCAGCACACTGCCTCTCACCCGGGCCACTCCAGCCTGAGACAGTCCTGGCCGCTGCAGCACACGTTAACCCAGTAAACCTATCCCAGGCAGGGGGAACTGTTCCCTGATGTTCATCAGCAGCTGTGCAACATGATTTATAAAATATGGTCCTGGACATGTAAAGTATTTAAAAAGTAATCAAACAACCCCAGCCTGACACAAACACAACAATAACACTGAGGGGGAATATTTGTCCTCAGAGGAATTATGTTTACTTGCAGCACTTTTACGCCCACTGAGGTGTTTTCATTGTGTTTTATTGCTTAAAGCTGGCTAATAATAAATGTTTATGTACCGTAGCTGTAAATGTGATAATATTTTACAATTCTTCAGCCATAAAGAAGTGTAGAAAGTGAATGACTGATAACATGTGAAGTGGCTGGCAGAGTGCAGACAGCTGCACATTTACAGTTTTTCTGCATCGCTTTAACAATAATAATAATAACTTTATTTATAAAGCACTTTCAAACAAAGTGCTGAACAGTTACATGGATTCAACAGGTACATCTGTTCAACTGCTCGTTAATGCAAATATCATTTAATCAGCCTGTAATGAATCAGCAACGTTAAAGCATGTCGACATGGTCAGAACAGCCTGTTGGAGTCAAACTGAGGATGACTGGACGAGGCTCTTGATACGGGCCGAGTATTTCAGACACTGCTGGACTTTTCCCTGCTGTGGTTTACAGAGAGCGGCCTGAGACAGGAAACATCCAGTGAGGAGCAGTTCTCTGGGTGAAACTGGCTCGTAGAATGAACTCGAGACAGGTGATAGGAAGGCAACAGTAACTCAAACAACCGCTCGTTATACACAAGTTATGCAGATGCGCATCTCTGCAAGCACAACACATCAGACGATGAAGCAGAATGGCTACAGCAGCAGAAGACCACACTGTGGGCCACACCTGTCAGCTAACAACAAGAAGCTGAGGCTACAGCTCACATGTGACATAAGCCTTAGAGTCTACGGCTTCTTTCTTCACTGACAGGTTTCATATTCATGTCAAAAAAGGAACTGACAAACAAACAGTAGAGGGCAGCAACATCCCAGCGCTGTGTGTATTCTGCCTAAATACAGAAGCCGAAGAAGAGAAGCGGCTGTTGTCAACAGTGTGGCCGTATGGCTGCGTTATTCTTACGGTAGCCTGTGTGTATGTGAGGTGATACTACAAACATATTAGTGTCCATTACTGAGAGGCTCGGATCAGACGGTGCGTTTAGTCCCCGAGCAGCGACAGCCATGGCTCATCTCACCCAGAACCCCGCGGACAAAGAGCGGTAAGTCCAGGACCCTGGCTAAGCTACAGCTAACAGAGCTAGCCGGTTTCTCGTGCAGAGTCTTGTGGAGAATTTTAAACATTTAAGGAAACAGATGCACCTACAAACGACACTTACTTATTTTAAGATGTTGAAGCACACATGTGGATCCTGGGAGGCTGATCTTCAGTTCGGCATACAGTCCCGCAGCTTTTAACTGAAGCTCCACGGAAAAGGGTTGTTTTAAAGGTTTAAATGTTCACTTCAGAGCCGAACCTCGACGATGAAACGCCGGTGAAACGAGGACATTAGGATAAGCTGACACTGAGTTTTTAAAGGACTTTTAGTGAAATGTCTTTCATGCCGATATTTAAATCGTATTTTGTACTGAGCTGTGTGTAAAGTCACGGGGAACAGAGGGAAAGTTAAATTGCGCATTTTCTACATGAAGTTTGGCCTGTGGTCCTCATCCTTAGGCATGACGTGTGATTAGAAGCTTAAGCTTGATGTTTACAGACCGCCTTATTTTTAAAGCTAAAGGGACGAAATGTTTCAGAGTCACATTAATGTGCAGAAAGTTTGCTGAACGTTCCGGTTCGGAGAGTTTGATCAGATCTGTGGAGCTTACAGGATGTTTCCCTCCTCAGTCAGAGGAGCTGGTACCACAGAGATCTGAGTGAAGAGCGGAGAAACCAAACTGGAAGACAAAGGTCTCATGTCTTTGTTTTGTTTACAAGCGGACAGACGTTCTTGTGACTTTTAAAGTGCTCTTGAGCAACAGTTCTCCAGAAGGCCTCCATTGTCTTCCCTCATTTTTAGCCCAGTCCTTGTTCCTGACCGTTTTTATAGTGTTTGTTATCTTTGTTAGTTTGTTTTGATGAAGCCTCTGAACTCTGACCTACGAATCACTGAAACGTTAAAAACAGCTCCCGTGCCGACACATAGCAGACCGTTTCTTTAGTCGAGTCTGTGAAAAATGCCAAAAACATCACATTTTGACATAAAATAGTATTTTTGATCCAACACGCGGATTCCCAAAGAGCTGATAACGTGGCATATCTCAGCGTGGTGTGGAGCGTTTATTTAGAAGTCTAAAGAAAAACTGTACAGAAGAAGAAGTGTGAGGCCTAAAAAACTCTCCAGTGGATCAACAGGATCTGAAAGAGCTGACACAGGAGCTGAGAGATGATCTGCATCTTCAACTGATCGTCTAATGTTCACTGAAGCTTCATCAGAAATGTCTCAGTGGAGGACGGCTTGTAGGAAGACCTTCTTAATGAAGGGATACGGGAGGAAGGGCGGAGCCCTGAAGACCAGAGGAACAGGTCTGATTTAGAGATGGAACCACATCATGGTCCGTGTGGACGAGGAGGTCCCACACTGAGAGTCTGCAGCCATCAGGTGGAGACGCTGTCGTGGTTTCAGCTGCAGGTGGAGTCTGATCCTCCATGCAGGAACATCTGATCTTAGCAGCTTCATGTTTCAGCACGACGATGATCCCAACACACCGTCAGTGAAGCACACAGGAGACCGCCATCAGAGCCGGACCTCAGCATCACTGAAGCAGAGTGGGACAACACAACATGAGTGTCCTTCAGGAAGCCCGGAGAACTGAAGATCCTCAGAGACGGAGAGCAGCTCAGAGCTCACGCTGAGCTGAAGGATGAAGCTGCTCGCGCCACAGATTCACCTCCAGGCTGCTTGTTTTTGCCCTGTTTGCTGCATTGGCATTTATATTTACTCTATTCAAATTTTCCTACAAAATATAAAGAACTGAGGAGTGGCTGAAGACTGTTGCACAGCTCTGTATGCACACACACACACACGGAGCAGAAACGATGACGTTTGTGCAGCAGGTGATTCAAACATGGTGCAGTGACATCAGTGTTTGTTTTAATGTGACTCAGAAATGCAAAATATTCACATCTGAGCAGCCAAACCAGAGAAGTTTCTTAAAAAGACAAAGATTTTGTTCTCTTTCAGTCTTTGGTGAGTGATTCCAGCCGAGCGTTCTTACTTAGCGCGCTCGGCTTCATGCATGAGGACGGCCGTCAGTCACTGAGTCGCTGCGTCGTCTGTTTCAGGTTCGTCTGCCTCTATCCCATCTACATCAACAGTAAGAAGACGCTGGCTGAAGGACGAAGGATCTCCGTGGAGAAGGTGACGGTTTAACGTTCATGTGTTTGATGACTACGTACGCTCGCAGCCTGTGTGACATGCTTTTGTAGATGAAAACAGCATAAAGATCATTAGAGCTCGTGCTGTGCGTCCACAGGAGACGCACGACTGCTGGAAGATTCGTTTTCTTAAATAAGTAAAAATCATGAGGCACAAGTGTTTGTAGCATAACATGGAAACAGCCTCTGATAACCTGAACGATCGTGTTTGATGTTTCCTCTGAAACCTGATCTTTGAACTTAACTCATCTTCTTCTTTTAAAGGATTTTACAGTCGACTGAAACACGAGATAAGTGTGAAGAAACTCTTGGATTTAAAAAAAAAAAAAGACCAGATGGAGAAAAAAAACCCAGAAACAAAAAGTTTCACTGTGAAAAGGTTGATTCTGTCCATGAACAGTGGGCTGGAGGTCAGCTTATCATCAATGATATGCAAATTCTCATGACCATTGATCAAAGATCAGGGTCATTGATCAGCAGCTGTTAGTCATCATGATACGTTTCTCCCACTGAAAACATCCAGATGAACAGAATCAACCTTTTGGGATTTCTTTACCTGGATTACTGATCG